ATTGAACCAACACATTTATATCTAACATATGACATAGCGTTTGAGATTCGAGGCCGTTGTTAAAATTGTAGACTGTCACTTGATTCATGCAATGTTAGCAGAACATTGTCAACACGTTTCCCTACAAACGGATCAGCATCGTCTGGGCAAAATCTGTATTGATCTTGTAAATCTCTTTGGCCCTGATGAAGCTGCGCCATCTGTAGTGAAACGCATCGGCATTAGACTACCAACATTTCTCTTGTCAGGTGTCCTAAACCATGGATTAAAGGACAATCTGCAAATCTGTACTGTTCACATTTGAGCCTTTTAATCCAATTGTGGATATCCCTGACCTATAAGTTTTGATGTCGCAAATTTTGTATAGATTTCCGTAATTATCGAAATGGGAGCGAGACGGGGAGACTACACCAAATATTACCTTTCCGAGAGGCGGTTGGAAAGTTTCAGGTGTAAGATCGTTGTGGATCTCCAAAATCAACTCATTCGTTCAGTTTTTTATTTCTCTTTGACCAGCCATAGATCCCTTGAAAATTTTCCCCGGAAGATACTCTTATTTTCCGCAACAATTAAGATTTTCTAAAGAAATGATTAAATAGAAAGAAAAAAATCTTCTGTGCGTGTCACAGTGACTATCGAGGCCGCAAATCTTTCAATGTAAAGGACTCTTTTCAACCATCGGTCAGTCAGTCAGTTTCGACGACTGCTAGTCCTTTTGAGTGGCAGAGTCAATGGCATCAGACAGTGTCTCGAACGCATCGAATCATGCGCAAGAGTCTGAAGTTCAGCAGAAAAAATCCTGATTGCTGAGCATAGCCCGTGGAGGCATTGTCTCAGGTCATTGTTGACCGTTTCCGGGGTCTCCGGTCATTCGGTTAAGCAATTAGTATCGGTATATCGGCTTTGCTTTTCTTTCACTGGATGCATTCGCCAAACGTACTCAAACCGCAGTAGTTGTGAGTTCTCACTCCGATGATCCAGCAGCCCTGTAGCAAGGCTTTCTCGGATATCTGTGCTCTGGACTCTGCCGATACGCGCTATCCCAGGGGTCGTTTACCAAGACATCGGTCAGCCACAGAGTCGCTTCCCGTCTTGAACGGATGAGGCAAACAGTGAGGAATTTGAGGCATGTTTCGTTGCACGGGGACTGTATCAGAACTATTAGGAGCCCACAGTCTTAAACTGGGACACATGCTGAGCAACGAACACAATTTAAGCTCTTGGACACGTCTCAAACGCCTGAAAGCGTACTTCTTGAAAACCTTACTTTCTGCAACTGCCGCCCGGCACTCTAGCATTGGAACCACCTGTGGCCATGATGGCGGTTGAGAAAAGGTTGGTGAGCGTTTGTCAGGCGGTTGAGAAACAGCAGGAATCGTACATGGTCCATTCGAATGGCGATTTCTAGTCAGAGGGAAACAACGGTTTCGAGTAATTAAAATATATCCGCTCGATGTACTTGATGAATAGCGGCTCGTACTCGTCGCTGACAGTTCTATGGGCTGTCAAGCCGAATCGCACAATGCTCTTTCGACTGGCGTTGTTAATCAGGGCTTGTTTCAGCACGACGGCACTATTTAATTTTACGTTGACTGTGCTTTGCGTCGGAACAACTTCGTCACCCGGTAATTATTGACCATCACCGATGTAAACGACTTATGTGCACTTTAAACCATACGTTTCGAGCATTAAGACTTTAATCAGCCATCATTATTGCAGTGGCGATGATCCGATTTCAGAACGATTGTCCAGAAAAGCCTCGTTACATATTCATGAATCTTGATATTCCAT